ACTCCAACCATTTTTCAATAATCTTCAGCAAAATTTTAATTGTATGTGATATTAATGATTTATTTGATAATTTCTGTATTCTGTTAAATCACCCTTCTTTGGAATGGGCACAAATATGGATCTCTTCCAGTCTACTGGTCAGGTAGCTGTCTTCTAAATTTCTTGGTATAAATGAGTGAGCACTTCCATCCTTGCATGCATTTTTTAAAAAATATCTCAATTGGTATTTTGTCAATTTTTAGAGGATTGCTTTTCACAATCCCTTCATTTCAGCTTGGACTTCTTCCTTCAGTACCACCAGTTCCTGGTCATATGCTACCTCCTGAAATGGTGGAATACTGACCAATTATTTTTAGTACAGTGATTCTTTGTATTATTTCTTCTTCTCTTTCTCCTTTTCCTTCTCCTTCCTCCTCCTCCTCCTTCTTCTTCCTTCTCCTCCTTCTTCTTCTTCCTCCTTCTTCTTCTTCCTCCTTCTCCTCCATCTCTTTCTCCTTCTCCTTCCTCCCTGCTGGTATTTGAAATACAGGTAGCATAGTTTCCAGCATCACAACCACATGCAAGCCACCACAGTACAAACTGATGGAAAAGTTGTGGCATAATTTATATGTATACATATAAAAAAACTAAATCTATTTCCATCAAGTTGATTCTGACTCATAACAATCCTACACGACAGAGTAGTCCTGCACCATAGGGTTTCCAAGGCAGTAATCTTTATAGAAGCAGACTGCCACATCTTCCTCCTGTGGAACAGCTGGCAGGTCTGGATTGCTGATCTTCAGTTTAGCAGCTGAGTGCTTAACCACTGTGCCACCAGGGATCCTTATATCTACATCTACTTAAAATTGTTGGTAGATGATCACTTGAGTAGACCAAGGGTAAGCAAACTAGAGGTTGGAAACCATTTGGTATGGGACCAAAAATATTCAATGATAATGGCTTAGGAGGTTATGATGATGCTAGTATTTCTCCCTATATGCCTCCCACACACATACACACACACACACCTGTACACCTATAAAAAGAACAAAATCAATATGTAGGTAAACATTGTAAGTACCTCTTGCCTAAAGTCTTTTTATATAATATCTAAAAGAATTTTCTTGTTGTCTTTTTGATGGACATAAACCAAATCCACTGCTATTGAGTCAATTCTAACTCATAGAGACCCCATAGGACAGAGTAGAACTGTCCCATAGCATGTCCAAGGCTATAAATCTTTATGAAATCAGATTACCACATCTTTCACCCACTGAGTAGTTGGTGGGCTTGGATCACTGACCTTTTGGTTAGCAGCTGAGCACTTTAATCACTCTGCCACCAGTGCCCTTTGTTGAACATATAGTATTTATTATATTCCCATCTACCCATGGCAGATCCACATTAAATAAGAAGACTGCAAGAAGATGAATTTATTTTGGCAAAGTTGCATTGTTGTTGTTGTTGTTATGTGCCGTCAAGTCGGACCTGACTCATAGCGACCCCTCCTTGAGTTTCTGTATAAAACCTAAACCTTCATAGAGCTCATCACATCCCATATAGATGGTATTTACACAGTATACAATGTACATGTCTTATACATTTATCAGTGTCTAAGGCACTTGACTTCTAATCAGAATGCTGGTGGTTCAAACCCACCAGCCACTCCTTGGAAGGAAGGTTGGGCAATCTACTTCCATAGTGATATTGCCTCAGAAACTCAAGGAAGGGTTGCTATGAGTCAGGTCTGACTCGACGGCACATAACAACAACAACAAGGTAAATTGCAGGTGCCTTCTTTCAGCAGAGAAGGAACATGTTTCACAAAAGGGCAATGTACACACTTGATTTTACTAAAGCAGTATAAATGGTTCCACAGAGTATTCTCCAAGGACTTCTATGCATATGGATTAGACAGAATGAGAAGAGTTTAATATGGATAAAAAGTCAGTTAAAGATATTGAACGCCTACAAATTATTAATAGTTTGGTGTCAAAATGAGAGCAGCTATTGCATGAGGCTCATAAGGAAGCATCCTGGATCCAATCCTGCTCCATATAGTCTATTAATAGTTCTGAGGAGTGTCTGATTAATGTGCTAATCAATCCACAGAAAATGCAGCTCAGGAAGACTTTGCTTATGCTTTGGATGATAATATAAAAATTCAGGATGATCCTATTAAATTGAAGGTACAAGCCAAAATAAATAGAGCATGCACACACAGTACTGCCAGGTGTTTCAAATCATATGGAGCCAGGAAGCCCCATACAGCAAGCAAGACCATGCTGGCAGCTTTCCGACAAGCCCCGTTTGTAAAGCTATCCAACTCCTGTCCTCCTTCCCCTCCTCACAGCCACAAAGATATCCACATAGATGTCAAGGACTGTCATTTACACAGGATTTACTTCCATTCCCTACAATTTCTCACCCTTTCCCTCACAATCCTGCCTTAAGTGGGGACAGATTTCAGTTGGTACAACTTGTAGAGGCCACACTGACCAATTTAAAGTTTGGAATACTACATTAGAAGCAGGCAAAGGAGTTAAAAACAAAGAGCACATAAAGGTTTGTAAATAGTGGTATAATGATTTTTTCCCAAGGAATGTCATAATGTCTTCCTGATTTCAAAAAAAAAAAAAAGGTACTAAACAGAAAGAGGGCAAAAGGAAGAAGATTACATTTCTCTAACAGCTAATTTAATATTTACTACCTGCTTGCCTAAGACATTTGACTGCTAACCATAAGGCTGGTGGTTCAAACCCACCAGCCACTCCTCGGAAGGAAGGTTGGGTTGGGCAATCTACTTCCGTAGTGATACTGCCTCAGAAACTCTACATGGGGTCACTATGAGTCAGATCCAAATCGATGGCAGTGGGTTGGGCCCAAACCTGGAAAAGCTAAGACTTTAGAAAAATTAAACCTATCCTTTCTTTTCACCACAACCAATTCCCAGAGTCATTCTTAATTACATTTACTTTCTTGTCCCCAATGAGCCAGTCAAGGACAGTGGTAGTTCATTGGTAAAATTCTTGCCTTCCATGAAGGAGACCCAGCTTCAATTCCCAGCCAATGCACAGCTACCACCTATCCCTAAACGGAGGCTTGTATGTTGCTATGATGGTGAACAAGTTTTGGCAGATCTTCCAGATGAGGAAGAAATGTCTAGTGATCTGCCTCCTAAAATCAGTCAGTGAAAAGCCTATGGATCACAATGGTCCAATCCATAACCAGTCATGGAGTTGGCACAGGACCATGCAGTGTTTTATTCCATTGTGCATGAGATAGCTATGAGTTGGGATTGGGTTGACAGGAGCTAACGAGAACAACGGAACTCTGTCAATTGTATCTTCTAAACATTACTCGGGAGCTCTGGTAGCATAGTGGCTAAGGCACTTGACTGCTAACCAGAAGGCTGGCGGTTCAAACCCACCAGCCACTCCTCGGAAGGAAGGTTGGGCAATCCTACTTCCGTAGTGATACTGCCTCGGAAACCCAAGGAGGGGTCGCTATGAGTCAGGGCTGACTCGATGGCACATAACAACAACAACAACAACAAACATTACTCACACCTATACCCTCGTCTCACCCTCCCAGCCACTATTCTAGTTCAAATCCTCATCATCCCTCACCTTGACTAGTGCATAAAGCCTTCTTTTTTTTGGGGGGGGGGGGGTTAAGGAGAAGTTTTTATTCTGTGCTTCCGCATGAGGTTTACGGGTCCCCGAGGGGCCCTGGCGAGGTTCACGGGTCCCTGAGAGGGGCCGGAGAACTCTCTGCATAAAGCCTTCTTGAAGCCTCTCTGCCTCCTTTAGATCCAGCCTTCACGTGGTTACGAATGTGATTTAGCTAGAATACAAACATGGCCTTGAACATTCTCTGTTTAAAACCTTTCAGTACCTTCCCAATACTCATAGAGTGAGGTCTAAGTTCTTCAAAGTTCTTCAGTTGGTACACAAACTTCTTCAGGAGCCCCTGGTTTTCTACCAGGGACACCACCAGCTTCCTAGAGAATGTGTGGAAAGGTGTGGGGCATTTCTGTGGGTCTCAATGTTGAGGCAGTGCTACCAGCGTTTAGTTCCCAGGGAGGTGAAGATGCTAAACACCCTGCAGTACCCAAGACAATTCACACAATGAACTGTCCTACCCATTACTAGCAGTTTCACCATTGAGAAATGCTCCTTATGAGTTCTGTCTACTTTTTCAGCCTTCTAGCTCATTATTCTGTAGTCCAGCTACATAAAACTATTATTCTCCAACAAGCCATATTTTGTCTAGCCTTATCTTCATTCTTTCTTCTGTGCTTTAATTCCTTCTGATACCTGGAATGACTGTCTTCATCTTATGGACTTGCCTTTTAAGATTCAGCTCAGGGGTTACTTCTGCCAGGAAGTGATTACATACACATGTACATACATACGCACATACAATACACACGCAACTTGATGCTTAGGTAGGTGTTTTCAAATTCTGATATGTCCTATACTTATTATGTTTCTTTGTAAATACTAATTTCCTCCTTTACTGGACTGAACTCCTTCTAGGCAGAAACTTAGGCAACTCAGTGCAACTTATGTAGACATACAATTGGATGGATGGATAAATGGATAACTGAGTGAGATGAAGGATCTTTTCAGAAGCTGATAGTTAGTCCAGTTGCCCATAATGGAGGTAATATACACTATCATTGTTTTGTAGCTTAGATAATATTTGAGGTCAACATTTCGTATCATGTCCATGGCCTTTCATCCCAGCATCTTATCCTGTACAGATCACTCCATGCCCTTATACTAAACATAGTATTTAAAAGGTGCCAGACTGAGTTTCTGTTAATAGTGGTGGAATAATTTGGAAAAGGATAGAAGTAATGGTTGTACAACATGATGAACACAATCAATGTCCCTGAATGTAAAACTCATTGAAAAATTGTTGAGTTAGCAAATATTTTGTTATATATACATTTTTACCACAATTTTTTTCAAAAAGATTTCAGACAGCACTCTGAATGCCATTCTACTTACCCATGTTGAGGACTGTGGTTCATAAAGAGTACTTTCATAGGTGCTTCTGTTTGGTAACTCTGTTTGCAGTTGGCTCAAGAATTCAGCAGTTTTACTATAAGGAACACAAATAGGTGTTAATGTTTTCACAAAAAATAAGCATATCATTGTTTACTTTACCTTTGGACACTAGCTTAGACTTTTATTGAGTGATGACTAAGATTGTCCTAGGTAGAAAAAAAGGAGCTCTTGTAAAGCAGTGGTTAAAGCATTTAGTTGCTAACCCAAAGGTCAATGGTTCAAACTCACCAGTGGCTCCATGGGAGAAAGATGAGGCAGTCTGCTTTCATAAAGAATGGAAGCCTTGGAAACACTAGGGGCAGTTCTACTTTGTCCTGTACAGTCGTTGTCAGTCAGAATTGACTCAATGGCAGTAGGTTGGTTGCTTTATGTATGTTTTGATTACCTAGTGCCACTTTGACAGGAATATACCACAAATGGGATGGCTTGAACAAACAAGAGTTTAATCTCTTACAGTTTGGAGGCTTTAAGTCCAAGTTCAAAATGCCAGGCTCCAGGGGCTGGGTAGAAGCCCCTCAACTTTGGGGTCCAGCTCTGCCTCCTGTTCTTGGCCCACTGGAGCTAAAGGCATTTCTTCACTCAGACAGCTGCTGGTTGCTGAGACTGAGAAGCCTCAAGGTTGACAAGTAAAAAGGCACAGTACTGATGTTACCAAACCACACAGCAGGCCATTAATTTAAGTCCATTGTAAGTCCCAAGGTTGGCAGAGCATGGCAGGATGCTGAACAATGACACAGCTACATGCAAGGTCCACATGTGCCATAAGCTAGAGACCATTCCCAAGGCTTCTCCTTATATACAGAAAGCAGACCACATCCCTAAGGCAGCTACTCAGTTGCTTGTGGTAGATCCCACCATGGAGTTGATTGCTCATCTCATGATGGGGAATAATTACCATCAGTTGCGCACCTTCTCAACCAGGCCCAGCCAAGTTGACATACAAATTTAACTACCACAATGTATAACAAAAAAATTTTATTAAGAACATCATATAGTAGAAAATCAAACCAAAACATTATTATTGCAAGTACGCATTCTTGAGGCACATTAAGTTTGAAAAATAAGAAATTAGTTTTGTGTTATGTGAAACTGTGATTTCTTTTTCTCCACTTTGTGTTATTTATATGGAGATAAAGCTCTGTTAGATCCCATAATCCAGGGCCCTAATTTCCTGTCTGAATATTTAAAGCTTGAAACTCAGAACATAAACCCACAACATCTCATCCCACATCCATCTTACACTAAGCCTTACTCCACATTCTAGGAGTATTTCTTTCTCCTGGTTACCTCATTTGCCACATAGCTTTGACTAATAGACCCTTTAGTCCAGTAACTCTTAGCCATTTATGGATCATGAACCCTTTTGGGATTCTGATAGCAGAAATGGAGCCTATCTCTTCAGACACACATGTTGTTGTTGTTGTTAATGTGCCGTCGAGTAGGACTCGACTCATAGCAACCCCTCCTTGGGTTTCCGAGGCAGTCTCACTACAGAAGTAGATTGCCCCATCTTCTTTCCAAGGAGTGGCTGGTGGGTTTGAACTGTCAGCCTTCTGGTTGGCAGTCAAGTGCCTTAGGCACTACGCTACCAGAGTTCCTTCAGACACACATACACCTTTGTATCTGACTTAAGGGAAATCATGAATTTCCTCGCATGGTGAATAAGAAGCATTGCTGGTATTGGTCTGAATTTCTGACATGTCCTTTTTAGCTTTGAAAGGTTGACCTAGAACTGGCCTGAATTTCAATAAGAAGGTCTTCATTTTTCTTTAAAAATTCAAACCACCACCCTATTTTCTCCTCTCAACTGTGTCAAGCATGCAGTCTGTCATTGCTGCATGCCATTGAGTCAATTTAGACCCATAGCAACTCCATGTGACAGAACACAATTATTTCATAAGGTTTCCTTGACTGTAATATTTATGGAAACAGATCACCAGGTTTTTTCTCCCATGGAGCTGGTGAGTGGATTAGATCTGTCAGCCTTACAGTCAGCAGCTGAGCACTTAACCATTTGTAAACCAGCATTCCTTATGTCAACCAAATAATACTGGAATTGTTTCCTAGTCCTCATTTCAATGACTGTCATATTCTGCTTATTCAGTTCTACTTCTTTTATCCTTTCCCCGTGACATTTGCGGAATTCTACCCCCTTGTTCCATTTGCACAACCAAATGCTTCATCAAGGCCTGATTTATGTTGCACCAGACTTTTGCATCCTGATCTTCATCTGCCTTCTTCCTTCTACTAACCCTCTACTTCCCCCTTATATTTTTTGGCTTATGTTAAGATCCAATTCATCAATATTTTAGGACATAAGCATTAAAAGAAACACAAATATTTGGCTAAGAACAAATGGCATCTAGTAGAAAAAAAAAAAAAAGATAGAGAGAAAGTCAAAACAAAGAATTAGAAATTATTTTAAACAGAGAACACCAACATCACTTCAAATAATTACTTAGGTAAAAGGCAGAACATGACATTTGAACAATGTCAGAAGCTTAAGCTGAGAAAGGAAGAGCTAAAAGTTAAGTGACATACATAACCCTAGGAAATATAAGACTTAAGCAGTTGAGACATGCAGCCATTCCACTTGCCTAGAATTGCTTATCTTCCCCAGAATAGACAAGGAGACTAATGAAGGCACAGAGTCTGGAAGCAGCCCCACCGTCTGGGGCTTCACGAAGTCATCAGTCAAAAGTGTAAAAAAGAGAGTTGCCAGAAATTTGGATGAGATTTCTGAATATCCTTAGCTGAGTGCAGACCATTGGAGAAAGCAATGAAGAAGAAATGCCATGATAAGCAAGGAAGGAACTTCAGGCCATGATCCAAAAGGAACTCCCACGGTGTGTGTTGACTGTTGCTGCCTACCTGCCAATGTCAAACACAAAGACAGCTGGGCAGCCAACTACTAGCCATGGCCTTTGTGTCAATTATCGCTGCCCCAACCATGCCACAAGATTCAAACATAGTGACTGAGCCATAGGATTGCCATAGGAATACAAGTAGAGGCCTACAGAGAATGCAGATTTCTCCCAAGTGACAAACTACATTGTTACAAATTCATGGTATTCCTCCAAAGTATGTGTTGAAATCTTAACTACTATAACTATAAATAGGTCCCTAGGAGGAGCAAACGGTTTGTGCCCAGCTGCTAACCAAAAAGTGCCACAGAACAAAGAACTGGCAATCTGTTTCCTTAAAGATCATAGCCAAGAAAACCCTGTGGAGCAGTTATATTCTGTAACACATGGGGTCACCATGACTTGGAACCAACTTGATAACAATGGCTTTTGGTTTGCACCTCTAAATAAGACCCTGTTTGGAAATAGCCTCCTGAACTATGAGAAGATTAATTTCTGTTCTTTAAAGCCCACTTGTAGTATTTTTTGTTCTAGCAGCACTAGGTAACTAAGACATTCACAAATGAGACAAGTCCCAAGTTACTAGGCTAACTAGTATTTTTCTATTACCACAATGCCTGGTACAAAATAAAATTTTCATATATTGGCAGACCTGAATTGGGATCCCTCAGTAATAATGGTGTTATTTATTAAAAATAAGATATAGATTCTCTTTAAGGGACATAAGAAGAGTATCCTGCTGGGGAAGGCCAACTAGACTAAGAATACTGGACTCTAGCATTATGAGTGATGTTTTTTTTTTTTCCCTTCAAGTTTCTTGCTGCTTATTTCCACTGTCACTCTGTTACCTGTTGGGGTAGGATGTTGGAGGGGAAATCCTCTCCTACTTTATCTCTCTGCCCAAGTATGAATAAAGGATTCTTTCCTTTATTCTCCATAGTAGTAATGATGGACTACCAATAACTTTGACTGATGGTGTTTACTCATGTTTAACTTATGATGCTAAGGGTCCCTCCTGATAGATCTTCATATGGTTACTATGGCTTATCCAACAGGGTCTCTTCAAAATAACCTCACCTCAACATAACACAATAATGGCAGAGATTGATAAATGTCCATTAACATTTCTGTCCTCTTTTTCATGGTCATTCAACTTGACTACATTTCCCAGCTTCCCTGGCAGCTAAGGGTGGTTATGTGATGGAGTCTGACCAATGGAAAGTCAGAGAACTTTCCAGGACTAACTTATTATAAACTTCCCAAGTATTCACTTCCATAGATGTTTGTCCTCTGGTTGGTGAAAATGGAGACAGGTCCCAGAGCAGCCTTGGAAATTATGTATTGAAGGTGGTAGAGCTTCAGCAAGCAGTCTTAATCCCTGAAGAGCTGAGTAGAAGGGAATCTCTTCTCAAATCTGTACAACTTATATGAGTAAGGGACGGGGGCAGTTACATACTACTCAAGCTATTATATATTTTGGGGTCTGTTTATTACAGCAATCAGTCTACTCTAAATGATATCCATATGCCTACAAGGAAGACCAGTTAATACTATTATTATTCACATTTACACACCACCACCAAAGCCGAAGATGAGGAAATTGAAGATTTTTACCAACTTTTGTCATCTGAAATTGACCAAATATGCAATCAAGATGTGTTGATTATCACTGGTGACTGGAATGCAAAAGTTGGAAACAAAGAAGAATCATCTATACTTGGAAAATATGCCCTTGGTGATAAAAATAATGCTGGATGTCACATGATAGAATTTTGCAAGACCAATGACTTCTTCATAGCAGATACCTTTTCGCAACAGTACAAATGACAGCTACACATGTGGACTTCACCAGATGGAGTACACAAGAATCAGATCGACTACATCTGTGGAAAGAGGCAATGTTGTTGTTGTTATGTGCCCTTGAGTCAGACCCAACTCATAGCGACCCCCCCTTGGGTTTCCGAGGCAGTATCACTACCTTCCTTCCGAGGAGTGGCTAGTGTATTTGAACTGCCAGTCCTCTGCTTAGCAATCAAGTGCCTTAGGCACTACACTACCAGAGCTCCGAAATAGGCAATGGAGCTTAATATCTTCAGCCAAAATAAGGCCAGGAGCTGATTGTGGAACAGACCATCAACTGCTCATATGCAAGTTCAACTTGAAGTTGAAG